AAAATCGATAGATTCTTCAATCTTTTTTTTGCAACTCTGCTCTGTACGCAGGCAGGGAAATTCAAATTTGTCATCAACGTTTTAGCCAAGCCGCATCAATGATAGCTTGCATATGTAAGGTCATTACTAGTATCAAACACGCAACAGCGTCCGGGTATCACGTTGAGCATCACATTTTCCAAAAAAAAAAAAGGAAAATCTATATATATATATACAAGATAGATATATATAGGATACTGTATATATATATACCGTATAAGCTAACATTGTTGGTCTCTTTGGTTGAACCAAGTGTCAAATAAGATAAAAAAAAAAATAGATCATTTTCTATATTTATGCGCGCAACTTATAACCATCCCAATTTGTAGCATATATAAAGCATACATCGTCACTCAAAGGAACGCTCAGGCACAAGCGCAACTTCGCATTCATACCTCATAATTTAATATACGATGACGACGATAATATACAAGGAATACACAAGTTGCTATGCAACTATTGCTCTGATACTCATCATTCAAATGTTATACGTTGCATACACATACACATCCATAGACTACATAGCGATAAGCGTTGAGCAGGTTAGCCAAGGAGAAGTAAACATCGATGTCAAGTTAAAGCTGGACAACTTCACGTCGCCCCAAAAGACACAAATTGCACATGTGCAACCATCCCCCGAGAAGCTAAAGTTTAAAGGATCATCACGTCCGCTCGACGGTTACCTGCTGAACATCTCTCGCGTGAACGATTACTGCGAACCAAAAAGTTACGAAAAGGAAGCGTTCAAAGAATACAGGATTCAAAGTTGTCTAGACTTCTTGAGTCAGAACGAATCGGAATACATGTATAAACCGAAGAATTCATCTTTCACCTACAAAGGGGATCCAATGATTTTTCACGTTTACTGGAGGGGAAAATTGACTGACAAGATTTCATTGATGATAAAATCTTTTTTGTACACTCAACCCCTCGATTCTTCGGTGTTGAATGTGTGGATGGACTCGAATGACGAAGATCTCAGCGAGAACTCTTACATCTTACCACTGCTCAAATTCTCGCCCCAATTTATTCAATTTCGAAAATGGAATGTCACCGAACAACTTTCCTACGATCCAATCTACAAGGGGTGGGAAAAGTCTATGAAAAAACATCATGGAAAGATTACCACTGTCGGATATAGCGACATGGTTAGGTTCGTGTTACTTAATAGGTACGGCGGATTATATGTGGATGCTGATGTGTTGCTGCTGAGAGACATGAGACCACTATATCATTTGAACTATGAATGGTCGTACCGATGGAGCGAATGGTTTGACTATAACACCGCTGTACTGCGGATTTGGAAGAATAGTACAACCAGTCGCACCATTATCGCAGCTGCCATGAAAAATAAAATGAATTTTCATCCGACCATCATAAAAAATTACCTCGCCAAAAAGAAAAAGAAAATAAGCAAATCGGATATCAACGGAAAACTTTACATGATGTCAGTGACAATGTTTGATCCTTTGTGGTTAAAGAGTGACCTGTTGTTGAAGGACCAAGTAATGGTGCCAAACCTGTGTCGATTCAAGGATGTGTTCAAGGGTGAATTACTCAAAGATGAATTTCCAGGAGTAAATGAAACAGTGGTGGCAAACAAGACTGGGGCTAACATAAAGATCTGGAGAAAGAAGGAAAAATTCTTTAATGGGGCGTTCACTTTTCACTGGCATAATCAATGGAACAGACGTATTTACAGCAGATCTTGGTTGGGCATACTTCAAAAGGAATATGATAATTTCTTGAAAGGACGAAGAGTAAATTTGTATAACGAATACCTTGCGATATGATCGAATCACAACTTTCTTTACTCGAGGATCATAACAAACGAATGCATGGGCTTTTCAGAGATAGTGCATCATTGTGTAACGCGCGTGCCTCGTGTCACACGAGGGACTTTCTCGCATGACATTTTCGCTGTATACAATAAGCTTATGCTACGGAAAACCTTTCTTTTCAATGGTAATATAATTGTCGAACAATCCAAGTCTATGCGGTAGATTTACTGTAAATAAACATAAGCATAAAACGTGAAATAATG